TAGACACATGGATTTCCTTGTTTGCAAAAGGCTAATCTGCACCTACCACAGAACTCTGTCAGAGAGGTGGTTTCATGCACATAAACTGTGCTGAAATCCCTGATTAGAAGGCATGGGACAAGATTCAGGGTACAGATCCTGCCATGTGATGGAAAGCTGGCATACCTTTAGCAGACATGAGAAGAAAACAATTATTTTAATTGTTGGTTAGAGTTTTAAAGCTACTTTTGCTGTAGCTTCAGGGTGACAATTCTGAGCTATTAAGTGGATTTTCTCCAGGAAAAATGTTGTGGTTTCGGTGCCTGTGATTCTAAGAGTAGGTTTTCCTGCTTTATCCTGTGTACATGCAGCCTACAAACCATGTCTAAGATTTTTAGGTTTGTATTCCCATCTTTGTTGTTTCACTTAATACTTGCCCTGCTAAAATGAGGCTGCAAGGCCTCTCAAGAAATGCTGTTCACTGAAGGTGAAATTATGCTTGAAATTAAGAGCAGCTACCCTGCACTATTTAAGGCACATTAAGGGTCTATTCTGGTCACCCAGCAAGCTGCTTGCAGACCACAACAGCAGCAACTCTTTGTGGGCTGAACCAATGTAAATCTTGGGGCTGTGAGACCCTGAGGCACCAGCCCCAGGGCACTGAGAACACTGAGGGCTGGGAGGGGCTGTGCCCACAGCCTGGCCAACCCCTGAACGCAAGGGGAAAGTTGGGCAAGTGACCACCACCATCTTTCTCTCACCATCTCTCAGTCAAAGCCTCTAAAATACAGCGATTTATCAAAGTTAAGCAGAATTTGGCTTTGCTCCTCAAAGATGCTGAAGTTTTTCCAGTGCACTGGTGTTGGTGTGGAGCACAAGAGGCTCTCTTGTGTGTGCTGCAGCCACTGAATCATTGTAGAGCAGCATCATAGCCCAGTCATCCTACAAATGCACCATGTCTGCAACCCTGGCTGTGTACATAACTTGTGTATATGATCCACTGCAATTCTTAACATTGCTGGGGTTGGAAAAGTTTATTTACATTAATTTTCCATCTCTTTAATGTGAAGAAATAGCAAATAAAGGTAACTAGGAAACATGAGTAAACATAATCAAACATAAAATGCTTGTGATGGTATAAGGAATTACTTCAGCCAATTAAAATTTTAAACAGAAAAAAACCCTGTAGCATCAAAACCCGAGTACATCAATAGCATTGTCCTTTTTGTAATCAGGATTAGTTTATATTTCCTGACAGCCAAGTGAGAAGAATTCCAAATTACAGCTTCTTGACCTTTTTCTCATTCAAAAACAGGCAAAGATACTACGTGAATAAAATGGGGAGTGTAAGGACACAGTCTGGGGGAGGGGAGACTCAATCACCCATTGCCTTTTGTCTAATTATGTACCTTTTATGAATGTTACTCTTTTCAAATATTGACTTTTTTATTGCTTCTCCTACAATTGCAAAGGGGGAATTTAAGAGCCCCACAAACTACTTTATCATATAATTAGTTTATCAGTAAATTTGGACCTCATACATCAATCACTATAATGCATAACCTCCACTGAGACAGAAACCAGGTGTGCGTGCTTCTGCTTTCTACTTTATAGTATCTACAGCATCATTAGTGCCTATGCTACAGTTTAAATTGAATTCAGCAAAAAGCAATGGTCTTACCCTCCTGCAAGCAACATTACTTCAGGGATAAATCAACATTTTATTGATTGACAACTCATGCTCTTTCCCTGCTGCTGTTTGGAAAACGGTGAAGTATGATTTGTGTATGCAAAAAATTATTTTAATTAGTCATGAATAGAAAAAACACCTGGTTCCAAGGTGAATGCTTAAAGTGGGCATACTGGGACAGCACCAAGAGGCTTGATATGCTGAATTATCTGAAAGCACCTGAAAAGGGTCTGCCTGCCCTTTTCTTTCCCATGCAATTGTGGGGTGGCTTTCTTTTCCAGTGCCTCTTATGTGTGACATCTGTACATTCCACAGGGGGAAAACATAGCTGGAAGACACAATAAGAGAGAACTCCTTTTGGGTCTACCCACAAAACATTGGGATGCCTTGCCTTTGCATCCTATGTACCCCAAAAATCCCAAAGGGAACCTCCAAATTTATAGTGCAATTCATGGACTAAGGAGTGGATCTCCAACCAGAGCAGTGTCCCCATGTCCCCAGGACTAGCAGTTGCTTCACAAACTAATACCTTGAACACAATTTTTAGGGGTTCATTCATAAAAATTCTCTTGGAAGTCAGGGTCTGATTTAACAATATGGAGCCCAGCTTGCGTGTGCATTAAAAATCCAAACAAGTAATTATTTACGCTACTTTTTCATTTTCCGAGTAATCAAGCGCTGGCTGGTAATAGTGCTCCAAGGGCTGATTACACCAGCAAGAAAGAGCAGCTCCTCTGACCACACCTTTTCCCCAGGAAAATCTCTACACCGATGCAAAAGGCAACACGTTTGTAGCAGAGAAAAACGGGAATTTCATGGTTGCATGGAATTAATGGTCCTCATGTTCTCAGCAGAGCTGAGCTGAAGCGCTTCCCACAGAGTGAGGACTTGTCAGGCTGTCTGTAACATGCTTCCTTTCCAAAATTAAAAGAAAAAAATTCTGATTGCAAGCAGATTTTTTCAGAGTATATCCCTTCTCCTTCACTCCTGAGAAAAAGCCAGCAGTGTTTCCAAAGCATGGTATTTGCTGTTGCTCATCTGCATGTCTAGTGTCCTAGCAGAAGAGCCTTTCCTCCAGGAATAACAAGTGTGCAGTGTATTACATTACAGCTGATTAAAGTAGCCTCTCCTGCTGCTGTTTAATTTGTCTGGTAGATCATCCAAATACTTGCAGGCACCATCTTATAAACACAGGATATTGGAACTGTGCTGTTTTGTGACTGTGCAAAAAGGCTGCTGGAAACACGCTGCCTGGGTGAAATCAGGTACCCACACTAACACAGCCGTACCTGGAAAGTTAAATGGTACTGTGGAGCGAAGGCTAAAACAGAAAAATAAAATGCACACGTTAGCTTAGCAAATCCCAGGTACAATCATGCCTTTGAACCGCCTCTGGAACATCCACCCGGCATTGTTTCTGGGAGTTGTAAGCTTATATTGGTATATCAGAGTGGGGAAAGGAATGGTTGATGCACCCCAATGGCAGAATTTGAATAAAAATAGCAGAGCAGGACTTGACCTGAAGAGCTACCTGGATTAGTGACTATCCATCAGCCAGCAAAGGCTGGACTTGATTCCTCAGGCCCAGGCTGTTAGCGAGGGCTTTGAAAATGTCTCCTTTCTCGTAAATTGGATAGATTTGGACTGGAAAACACTGAGACAAAAAGAGGTAGAACTGTCTTCACGCTCACTGACATTTTTAGTTCAAACACGTGAAACCAAACCCCCAAGTGCAAGAAGGATGGTGATGTGGTACTCAAGCAGGATTTTTAAAAAAGTTCTTAAAGCTGCAAAGGTTATTAACCACCAGGAACCTTTCCTTTAATATATATTAAAAGCTGATTTATATGGAAGGCCTTAGGTGTACTCGAATTTCAAACACCTGGGTTATTTTCTTTACTGATAAATGCAGGTGTTTCATAGCAAAAGCACACAGGCAATCAGACTGTCTGAGGGCAGCAATGAGTTGCACACATTTCTCCTAGGATAAATAAATTTTCACAAGTGCGTGGAGTGAATGGGCCTTTGGCATTAATTGCAATTAGATGGCAGTCAGGCTTTGAGGTGTAGAAAAATACGTGTTTTAACCAATTCACGAAAGAGTTGTGCCAGCTTCCTCTGAAATCAGCTGTTTCCAATTTTGCCTGGGAGGGAAGAGGGAAGGGAAGAGGCGAGGCTGCCACAGCCCGTGCCAGGCAGGGGGTGCAGCCAGCCCTTCCCGCACAGCTCGCTCCTGCCGCCGGCACACGCGTGCGCTCCCGCTCGCCGCAGCCCGGAGCGTGCCATCTCCCTGTCTTTACCGAGATCAAATGGAGCCAGTCAATCAGGGGATACCATTATTGCCTCCGCCATTCAATTTCCACTATCAATAATTTACTGTACTCGCTGCACGCGCAGGAGGAGGAGGAGGAGGTGGCCAAACAGATTTTGGTCGGGGGGTACGGGATGCGCCCCGCGGGCGGCCGGGCAGAGCCGAGCCGGGCGTTCCCCCCGGCACCCCCGGGCTCCGCGGTCGGCCCCGTCTCCGCCGGCGGGCGCTGATGCGACGGGCGGTCCCGCTGCCGGTCCTGGTCCCGGTCTCGGTCCCGGTCCCGGGCTGGGCAGAGCCGCCTCGGGACCGCTGGGACCGAGCTCCCGCTGGGCGCCTGCAGAAAGTCACCGGTGTAACGTTACCTGGGGCGCTCATTAATAAGCAATGCCTGTTATTATCTTGATTGCATTCTTAATAGGCGAACTACGGAGAGGTCAGCGCGGGAGCGATATTTAAATGGATTGGGCTTGCTTAATACCCGGCGGAGTAAACCAATATCCCGCCGCGGGCGGGCCGACCCCCCCCGCGCCCGCCCCGCTCCCCGCGGCGGGGGCGGCGGCGGGGCGGGAGGCGGTGCGGAGACTCGGAGCGGGGCAGCGCGGTGCCTACGGCCGCCGCAGCCGCCGGCCGGGGGCGAAGCCGCTCGGCGAGGAGGAGGCGGCGGGGCTGGGCCGGGAGGCTCCGGCGGAGTGTGGGATCCGGCCGCGCTGCCCTCCCGCCCCTCATAAAGCTTTGATGAGACACTTGAGACGCCGCCTGTGTTGTCGAGGCGGCGGGAGGCGGTCGGTGGGACTGGGCGCCCGGGAGAGGATGTGACTTCCCGGAGGGGACCCGGACAGGCTTTGTGTGGACGACAAGGTACGCGGCGCCCCGCCGGGAAACTTAAGGGGCCGGGCGCAGGGGGTGCGGGCGGCCGCGGAGCCGGGCGGGCGCCGGCCGGCGAGAGGCGTCGGGGAGCGGTAAGGGCGGGCGAGGGCCGGCGCAGCCCGCGCCCCTTTGTTCCCGCACCTGTCGGTGGGCGCGGGGCGGGCGGGGTGCGGGGCGGGCCGGGCGCCGTCAGGGAGGGGCGCGATGCACTTGTTGAAGCTGGACCGTCGCTGGAATGTGAAGCATGCCCGGCACCGTCTCCGGGACCCGGTGCCACGGGCGCCTGCTCCTCTGCCGTCCCGGTGCAGCGGGCAGCCCGGAGGAAGGGCAGCGAGGGAAGGCAGGGCGGAGGGGAGCCGGCACGGAGGTGCCGGGGCTCGGGAAGGAGCGGCGGCTGGCCTCGACCCACCGGCTGTGGATTCGTACCGGGGCTCAGACACGCCCGCGCCCAGGAAAAAGCCCTGGGGTTAAATGGTAAATTTGTTGGGCAGAGGTTGTGCTTTGGGAACCTTGTGCTGTCCCACGGATTTATTCTTTTTTTCCCCCCTCGGATTAAAAGCATGAGGTGTCGCAGCTGTGGGCCACGCTTGCTTTGCTTGGTTGTTTTTAAGAGGTGCTGTTGGTGTCTTGGTTTGTACGTTCCAGTTAAGATCTGTCCTTTTCCTCTCAGTTTATTGTAGTTTGCTCTTCTGAGGTTATGCAAGATCAATAAGTCATTACTTATTTATGTTTCTAGTAACACAGTTCTAATGAATGCAAAGAATCTATCCTGGCAATACATTTTTCTTCAGCCAGTATTTCTGTAATCTTTAATTCATGGTGATAAATAGATGAAATGAATTTCCTTGGTTGGCTGTAGATACGAGCAAAGGGATAATGAGCCGCCTGCTTGTGGGCAGGAGGAACGTTCAGAGCACCAAGTTTTAATGGCTTTTTGGTCACAAAAGCGAGGACTCTGCTCTGTTAGCACGAGTGGCTGTCCTAAGTAAGCAGGACATCATTGTATTACCTGCTCTTTTGTGCTGGGTAGTGCGTTTGTGTAAATCGGAGGCTCTGCTCGCAGAGCTGATTGCTGCCTGCAAGCCCTCAGGTGAAAACTGCAGCCCAGCGATGCCCAGAGGCGGTGTGGGATGGAAGGACGTCAGCAGAGGGGATGCTCTTGGCGTCAGGCACGCTGCGGATCCCGGAGTTTGGCGGGTGAGAGGAGGTAGCAGCTGCTGGGGGATGCTGCGGCTTCCTGCGTGCAGAGTTCCAGGGCACTGGCTGTGTAAACAGAGCCGGCGAAGCGAGCAGACAGACAGTGATGTTCTGCAGGGATGAGTGCCGTCCCTCACCTGGGTCTCAGAGCAAAGCAGCACCTCCGTTTCAACTCTAAAACATCTCTTTTCTGCTGTAGTACTACCGCTAATGTTCAGCTTCACTGAACCTTGTCTGGGAAAACCCATTTGTAAGCAGCGTGCCTTCTGTGCATGCTGCAAGTGCTCTCTGCTTTCCGGAACTGCAGGGTAGATCCTGTTGTTATGTGGCTGTGAAATCAGGGTAAACCAGGTCAGAAAGATGAAGAACATTTTATCTGAATAATCCAGATATAATGGTGGAGGAAGATGGGAAAGGACTTTTATCTTGGACAGAGCAAGACTAAACTGAAAAAAGTGTAACTTCAAGCTGTTAAGCAGCAAGGCATTATGTTGTAACAGTAGTGCTCGGGAAGTACTGCAGTATGCTGGAATACTACAAAATGTAGTGCACGGATGCAAAGGTTTTTAAAGGCTTGTTAACATGTGAAAAAAATACAGGGGAAAATAAGGTTCTGTGCTTTTGCTTAAAAGCTTTGTATACGTGATAGTGCTGAGCTGAAAGTGGCTGCACTTAAAAAGTCCTTGCAGTAGCTGAAGCGTTTGTGCAACTCTTACTCTGCTGTTGCTGTAAGGAAAACACAGAAGCTGCGCATTTTGCTCAGATAATAATTCTCTCAGGGAGTGCACATATTAAAAAAAGCAGGTCACAAGAAACTTGGAATAAGGAGACCCTCTCAACCCTTCTATGGGTAAGCACTGCATGAAGAGGAGAAACAAGTCACCCCACTGAGTGACTTGTGCAATAAGTATGGTCCTATTAAAAAAAAAAAAAAGGTATTTCTCATACCTGCCTTCCTGGTTTGCATAAAAGGCTGAAAAGTTTTTCTAAGAATGTGCCCCGTGCCTACGCTAGAAATCTCACATGAGGCATTGTGTGAATTGTTGGAGGCTCTACTAGAGAAGGGATATGTGCTTTCAATGGGTTAATTGCCAACTTGTCTTGACCTGTTTTCAAGCATATGTTGTGAGTGCTTGGTTTCTCCTAAATAGCTCAAATGCTGCTTAATTGGGAAACTCTCAATCATTTCTTAGATCAGTTCATACACTGGCATTCTTGGTAATCCTTAGTTGTAAACACCCTTTAAAAGGAAGCTTTTAAGGGCACTGAAGCTAAGCTGGTTTTGTGTGTTGCTGAAGTGAACTGTTAACCAATAACCTGTTGTCTTCAGTTCCAGCAGGGAAGGGTCTGTGACAGCCCTTGCATGCTGTGATACCCCATTAGGAAGCAGCACAGGTGTGTACTGCCTGGCACATGAGTTGGGATGGGGCTGGCAGGCTGTGCCCCTCTCTGTCAGCTCACAAATCTTACTTTGTTTCCTTATCCAGTCTTATCTTTGGCTGCAGGCTCTTTGAGGCAGATATAGTCTTGCATATCCAAGGTACCCAACAAGAATTCACCAACTCTGTTGTAGTACAAAGAATAAATAACAGATTTTGCTATGCAGTGCACACAGGCAACTTTGCCATGGTACCTTAAACTTGGATGTTACCCATTCCAGGTGCTGAGCAGTCCAGGGGTGAACACTGTTTGCAGGTGTTGTCCATGTGGAAGAGTCTTTTGTGTGAATGTAGGTGATCTGTAGGGTCAGGCTCAGCCTTTCCTCCTTTCCAGCATTCAGGACCTCAGTGTCAGGCAGCTGTAGACTGGTGGAGTTCAACTGCTACACCCAATAGTGACACAAAACTGTCTGGAATACTGGAAATGCCATGGGCATGACTGACCAGACAACAGTCTTACCAAAAAAAAAAAGCCAACCTCATCTCAGGTATAATGTCTGGCCTTTATAACCAGTTGGCTGGGATGGTACTGACCTGATGTGATTGCAATTCTTGGTAACACTGATACCAGGGATACTGGAATGTCCCCTTACAGCATCATTTCAGCACCATCAATAGATACAGCTGTCTAAAGATGAGTACCATGCACAACCAGAGGAAGCAAAAGGAAACTTCATTTAGGGATTTTTCATGTCCTGCTGAAAGCTACCATAAGGCTGTAGCAGTTGTATACTTTCCTTGGTAAGAATATTGTATTTTTCAGAGAAGTCATTTTCTGAAACCAGTTAATTAGGACAGTTATTTCTGGCCGTGGCATTTGTAGAGAACAGAAGGCATGATTGTTCTTATATTTGTTTCTCTGAGTCCTTTGATCGACTGGAAGCTCTCAATGCTTTACGCTATAAATTACCTCAATCCTTTGGCAGTTCATTTCTTTTCTTGTATACTTGGTTAGGAAAATGCAGAAATCCTTGTGACTCAGCTACAGACTACTATAAATTATGAAGAAATGGGGGAGGGGGTCACATTTCACGTTAGGAAAGGCAATTCTAGGAGGATGGAAGGATACTGGTTGCTAAATTTGAGATAAGCATCTTACAGTATCTCAAAATCTGAGCAGCTGCTGCCACCTAGAGATGCACGAACCCCACAGGGTGCTCGGGCTGCCTCTGGCAGGGGAGCCTGCACCTTGAGAAGGAGTTAATCCCAGTCCTTACTCCACAGTATAGATTTAGTGCATGAGTGCCCTGTAATTGATGATTACCTGTGAATGATTACCTGTGAATCCTGTTCTAGTGATGCAGGTAGCTAAGTTTTATACAGTCTTCCTCGTGCAACTTAAGTAGGTAAGCAAAGAAACATCACTTTCAGTAAAGCATTTGCTGATTTAATTTAGACTGCACCCAAAGAAGTATTTGCAAGTCAAATTTATAAGGGTTTGGTGCAGCTGCTGCTGAGGCTCCATAGCCTTTGTAAAGCCTACGCCGATAATATGCAGTGTAGAATTAGGATTTAAGGATTTGAGTTCAGTTGAAGGTTGGTTTGTTCCCTATCCCATCTTTGAAATCTGCTGGTTGGGGACTGTCCTTTAGTATATATTTGCTGGAATAGGAAAAAAGTTATTTCCCCGAATGTATGAACTCAGCAGCCTTTAGATTGGTTTCACTAGATTGAGAATTTTCTCAATTTAAAAGTTAAGTATCAAAGTTGAATATGTAACTATTTATTACTATCTCAAATCAAACAACATGGAATACACTAGTATCTGCTCCTTGTTTTTTTGTTTTGTACATCAACCTGCTATAGCAGTTTTTTCCTTTGCATTTGAGAGAAAAGCAGTGTTCCCTACTTAATTTGTTTCCTGATTACAGAGGGAAACAATGAGCCTTTTTTACCCCCTGAACTCCTAATCTCATATTCAGTTATTTCTGTTTGACTCTCAGAGACACGGTATGTTTTGGGGCTTTTATAATTGCTAGCTTTCAGCTATCAAATGCCTACTGGAATAAGCAAACCAACACAACTAAACCTGGAGCTGATAACATCATCTCACAGAGCCCCAAAAATGTGACCCCTAGTTAATTGCATGTGCTGTATAACTTTCCAGGTGATGGATTTAAAAATTTCTTAAGATCTTTGAAGTCTGTCAGTGGGATTGGGATAAGAGCTTAAGGCAAAACTTCTGAGGGAACAGAATTTTCATGTGGGAAACTGAGAAACTGTGATGCAGGGATATTTGCCACCAGTCAGGAGGCAACTGCGAACTCTTCTTACCTTATCAGGGTGCGTGAGAGTTGTAATACCAAACTAGAGTTTGAAAAACTATTCTTGGCTCACTGGAGTTCCACATCAGCCTCAACCTTTCTGGTATGTGCACTGAGTTACAAGTAGGCTTTGCATGAATGCAGGAGGAATCTGGGAAAAAATTGAGCTAAGCAAAACCTTGAGCAAAATGCTGTTATGTGCTCTTTATTAATTCAGCATGTAAAAGACTCAGCCCAGAATCCTTTACTATATATCTTTTAAAAGTGAGTTAAACTTAATCTTGTGTGCGTATTGTGCCTCATCTAATGTGATCTAAACCCTGGGGTTTTTTTAAAACTGCTCCTGGAGAAATGCGTTTCATCTTGATCAAGAAAATAAAGGTTCTGATCTCTGGATTCCTTAGTCTGTTATGCCATTCATTTTTTAAGTTTGGTGCAACATCTAGTATCTATATGCTTTAGTTTAGCCATCTTTACACTAGCCATGGTGCTCTTGTAGAGTGTTCAGTACATGATACACTGAGAAGAAAAGAAATGAAATCTAAACTTTATTGAAAGGCTGGCTTAGTAAAGC